AAGAATGGAATCCCTCAGGAGAATGGGGGGGGGGGGACTCTGTCTGCTTTCCCTGCTAGCTTCTGGTGTTCCTTCTAACTAGCCCATGAGTTCCTTCCTGTGGGGCCTCCAGCTGCACATTGAGCTCTTTTCTCTATCCCAAGACACTTGTGATTCAGTCCAGGACACACCCTGATCCAGGATCTCCTTATCTCGGCATCTTAATTATATCTGCAAAAAAAAAGAATTTATTCCAAATAATACCAAACCGGTGGGCTCTGCTGGTGGGAGGTAGATCGGCTGCCAGGACAGTAGAATATAGTATAATTGCAACTGCATCTGAAAAGAACATTGCACAGTGGAATAGAACAGAAACAGCAAAAACAAAGGCAACAGAAAGGGCAACAGATGCATAAAATATGAATGAACTGTATGTAGTTCCCATGAACCTAGGAAGCAAGATCAAGAAGAGCTTCTATATTTTATTTATACTTTTAATTTTCTAAAGTTTCTATGTATAATAGACGGGCCACGTGCTAATTTAAAGTTCATAGAGGAAAAGAACCCATTAAGAGTATTTCAGGGAACTGAATGAGCCAATAGTAGAACACTTTAGTGAAGAAACCCTGATGGGGGTGAGCTGTCAGTCAAAAACTGCCAGAACATTGCTTTGGTATAGACAGTCTTTGAGCACAGATTGAAAGCAAAGCACATCTCTAAAGTTAATATTCTTATATCCCCAAGGTCTTTGGAGTTCAGATTTGGGTTTTCAAAGGGAATTCTGAACCTCAGTCTATCATTTTTTATAAAGAGGAAATGTACCAAATTTTAAGGATTACATAGGACTGTTGTAAGTTTAACTCCCATGTCACCCTAATAAGAGCACTGGTTACACCAGCAATGGGATCCAATTGGAGCCAAGAAAGACTCAAGCCATACTGAGTGACAAAGGGGGGGCACACATGATCACCATATGCTGAGAAAAGACAATGGGCCAGCCAGACTGAACTCCAACAGGAAAGGGGCAGGAAAGTAAAAGACCAGAGGACATTTTGAGGGAGAAAAAGCTGGGATCTCATATTGTTTGCTGAGGGGTGTGTGATGTGGGCCCCCTATACAAAAGCTGGGGTCTCTACCGCACTCTCTCAGGCAACTGTGTGAGTAGCTCTTTGAAGGAGCTTTAGCAGGTCTCTGTGTTACATAACCCTTAAAAGAAAATAGGGCTGTTACTGAAAACTCCATGTGTAGAGATTGGAAAGTGTTTCAACTCTCTATTATATCAAGATACACCTCATCTGAGAAAATAGTTGCCCTTTACAAATTCAACCCTTAAAAATCCTATCTATGCAGCATAGTCATTGGATATGATGGAAAATTATTCTAATAACTATAACAACTTTACAGCTTGCAGACAGAAGTCAGCCCTTTGACAAGCAGATCCTGCAAAACTGAAAAACAGAAACTGCCCAAGAAATGACCAAGTCAGGACTTTTTAAAAATGCAATTCATTATTTGAATTCATTAAGTCCATGAAAGTATGTCTCGTTGATGTTGCTTTTGTAAAATATGATTCTTCTCAAGTTTTCCTTTCAAATTTGCAAGATCTTTTTACATTGTAACCATAATGTAATCATATGTGATCACAATGGTATGAACACAGTGTAATTATATGTGATCACAATGGTATGACCATAGTGCAATCATTCATGACCCCAGTGGTGTGACCATAACATACATGTAATCTAGGTGGCTGGAGGTAAAAGTACTTAGATTGTCTTCTCCCTTGTGTAAACTGAAAGTCTCCATTCCAATCAAAGAAAGATGACTGTGTAACTCAGTGTAGGGTGCATCAATTCTCCCATGGGATCAAGAGTCCCATTCTTCCACTTAGACGATAGACACAGACATAATGTGTATCAGCTTCAGACAGGCTAAATCTAATGATGTTTGGGTTTGTTGTTGTTGCAGGTCCTCAACCAGAAAATGTAAGAGCCTATCAGAAAACATTATAGAAGGGGAGAGGTGATCGGGCAAGTCATTCTGTGTATGTTTATCTTATTGGTTGTTGAATAAAGCACTGTTCAGCCCAGGCAGCAAGTTAGGTGGGACTAGGAGTCAAGGAGGATTCTGGGAAATGTAGTAAAGTCTTGTGATCCAGGCAGGAAGTGGCATAGCAGACAGACTCAATATAAGCAGGGACAAGCAGGAAATCATTCTCTTCCTCTTCCTCTTTCTCTCTTCTCTGGAGCCGCCATGTGAGCTCCACAAGAGAGGATGCATGCTGCCAGCATCCTCGATCAGATAACTCTTTATAAATATATAGATTATGGCTATGATTGATACTTAAGACAGAGCAAGCATATAAGAAATCCTAATCTTTGGCCAGCAGCATTGTACCTAATATAAGTCCCTGTGTATTATTTGGGGCCCTGTCACAGCAGGCAGAACTTGGGCAGTACTTGGACAGCTGGTGTAAAGACTTCTTGTTATAGAGAGGAGAAAGAATATCAGAGCTGGGAAATAGGAAGATGTGTAGTAAAAAGATGTCTTCTGAAGGGGACACAACCATTGCACTCATGTTTTTATCTGCACAAGACTTGCACAAAATTGTCACCATAGATAAGGGTGGATGGTTTTACTGATGAATTCTACAATTTTTTCAAGGAAGATTTAATACTAACATTTCTCAAACTTTTCTATAAAATAGGGAAGGAACACTACCAAACTCATCCTATCACACCATTATTACTTGGTGAGGTGACACTACCAAACTCATCCTATGATGCCATTATAACTCTGATGCCAAAACCAGACAAAGAAAAAAATTTTAACCAATCTCCCTATGGACATAATCCTCAATCAAATGCTTTCCAACTGAATTCAAAGTCACATTAAGAAGATTGTTTATCACAAGCAAGATGATTTTACCCCAAGGATACAAGATGGGTTCAATATAGAAAATCAATAAACATATACCACATTAGTAGACATTTTAATCCCAGAACTCAGGAGGCAGAGACAGGCAGAGCTCTGTGAGTTTGAGGCCAGCCTGGTCAATAGAGTGAGTTCCAGGACAGCCAGAGCTGTTACACAGAGAAACCCTGTCTCAAAATACCGAAGGGAAAAAAGTTCTGATGAAACCAGGAGTAGGCAGAAGAAAGCTCAATATAATGAAGGCTGCATATGGTTAATATTGAAAATATATAAATGATTGAATAAATTAAATGCCAAAAACACCCTGACAATGAATCAATGGGCCAACAATCTGAGGAAATACTTATAAAAGAATAATTGAAATGACTAGGAAACACTCTAGCCATCAGAATAAAGCAAATTAAAACTACTTTGAGATTACATCTCACCCCAGTCAGAATGGCCATCATCGAGAAGATAAATGACAACATGCTGGTGAGGACATAGGCTTAGAGAATCCTTGCTCACTGTTGGTAGGGGTGCAAATTAGTGCAGTCACTGTGGAAATCATATGGTGGCTTTGGAAAAGTCTGACAATAGAGCTCCAATAGAATGCAGTTGTCATTCAGGCATACACCCAAGGTCTCTATGTGCTTCCACAGAGATAGGTACATCTATGTTTATTAATGCTATCCTCACAATAACTAAGAAATGGAATCAGCCTAGATGTCCACCAGAAGATCAATGAACCAATACAGTGTGTAAGTATACACAATGAAGTTACATTTAGCCCAGAAGAAAAAAATAGAATTGTGTAATTTGCAGAAAGATGATTGAGAATGGAAAGCATTTTCTTTGTTTTTTTATATTTATTTTATTCTGTGTGTGAGAGTGTTTTGCTCACATATATGTCTGTACATATATGTATGTACCTGATACAGGCAGAGGATATTGGATCCCTTGGAATGGGAGTTACAGACAGTTGTGAGACACCATATAGGTGCCGGAAATTGAACCTAGGTCCTCTGCAACAAGTGCTCTTAAACACTGAGCCATTTCTCCAGCCCTGAAAATACCTTTTTTTCATAGTCATTTTATTATTCTTAAATATACCTATATATGCATATGAGTGCATGTGTCCTCAAATGTCAGAGGTCAGATGTATTTGATCCCCTTAGAGATAAAATTGCAGGCAATTGTGAATTGCCAGTTGTGAATTCTGGGAATCTAACTCTTGTCTTCTGGAAGAACTGCAAATGTTCTTACCCACTGAGCCACTTCTCAGTGAGATATTCCATTAAGCAAAGTAACCCAGGCTCAATGGTTAAGACAAATCTGTATATTCGCTCTCATCTGTGGATCCTAGCCTCTAAATGTTAAACACATGTATCCAAATGGGAATAAATTCTGGTAGAGTCCACAAAACTAGAAAGGAACTCATGAGACTGAAAAATAGAGGAGTTTTAAAGGAGGGAGTCGGAGAAGACAATGAAGCAACTGGAATAGGAAAAAGCTGGGAGTGAATGTGTACAGCAGGAAAAGGAGGGAAGGGAAGATGGAGAATCAAGCAAAGGCTACACGTCTGGGAAAAAAGAAATCTACTACTGTGTAAGCTAATTCAGGAAATTCATTAAAAATTTAAAAGAAATGAAAGGTGGAATTTAAAAGATATGAAAAGTGGCCCACACAAAGACAAGTAAAATAAAAAGAAACATTAGAAGGGAGCTTGAAGATTTCCCTCTCAATTTTCTAGTGTTTTCACAGTTGTTTGGGTAGAAATATTCATGTTTGAAATCACTACTGATGCTACTACTATTTCTACAGATGGTATTTATTAATACACAGAATTAAATAAAGAAAATAGATATTTTGTTCTAAATTCCTCTGTGTGAGGTGTATAAAATCCTATCAGCTCTACTTACTTGTTACTACAATATCAAAGATATGTATGTCTGTGCTCTACAGAATAAACTCCCGAAGAATTAATTTCCAATAAATTAAAGAAGGGCAGAAATACACCCTTAATTAAAATAAGAAGCCACCAATTATTAAAACCTGCTTGAAGCCCCCGGAAAGTCTAATAAAAGCCCAAAGAATGAGTTTCTTACTTGCTGTTAATGAGCACTTCAGACTGCCGGTTGTTCACTTGATTGTCACTCTTGTGGCGAAACTGAAAAGTCAAAATTTAGGAAAGAGCATCTTAAGTCATACTTTGTCAATCCTAACCGCAACACTGGACATATTCTGAGTTCATCTGTTTGGACAATGTGGCTGTCTATCCAATATGAACACAGCTCATACTTACTTTGAGCAGAGTCTATGCACAACTAATCAACACTCATCTCCCTGCATCTCACCCTGGCACACACATCACCATGGAAATCATGTGTGCATGTGTGAGTGTGTGTGCGTGTGCGTGTGTGTGCGTGTGTGTGTGTGTGTGTGTGTGTGTGTGCGCGCGCGTGCGTGCATGCGTGCACACATACTTCATGCTAGACCCACAAATATTAGTCCTTACACATTTCTAATTGCTTCTAGGAAGGCAGCATGTCTACCTCATAGTCCAGAGACAACCATGCACAGGTTTTGAAAACTTCAACCGGGAACCAGTTCCTATTTCTCTCACGTGCACACAAAGTCATCTCAGCATATTAGTGCACACCCACAGATGAATAGGGGTGCTTTCAGGGACATGAAACTTTAATCTCATAAATTATAAGAGTGAGAGCTTTTCCTTTTGTATTTCAAAATGATGTGTGTGTACATACACACATCCACACATACACCACATTATACTGCTGTTGGGTCTTCTCTTTTTCAACCTCAGATACTATAGTATCGTTGTACACATTGAAATATGCCAGGCACTTTATTAGGAGACAGAAACATACCACCTTAAGCGAAGTGCATTATCCATATGTATGTGTGCAATTTTAAGTGACTCATACCAAATTGTGAACTTATTTAAAGTTCTACACGCAACAACTTTGAAGAAACATCACATAACTCGACTTGGTAATTATAAATCTTCCCCTCTGCTTCATGCTTGACCACCCTTCAGCAGCACTGACTAGGTTCCCACTTCCTGTTTGAGACGAGCATTCGTAGATGTGAATACCCACATAGTCATCAGTAGCATCCTTGACAGCTGTCATGGAGATCACCAGGACCAGAGGCACGATGGTGGTGAACCATGTCAGGGAAGAGATTTCTGGAATGAGCTGAAACAAGCATTTTCCGCAGCTTAAGACATTTTAAATTAAGAAAGACATGCCCCAACCTTTGCCTATTAATTGCAAAACACTTGTAGAAATAAATTAGTTTATGTGCAGCTATTTGTACAAAAGTAAACTTGGTAAAATGATCCAATTATATGCATTCGACCACAAAACATACAGAGACATACCTTCCTGCTGATTTCAGACTGCCTGACAAAAAATGAAATAAAAACTTAAAGCTAACTGAGAAGCGGGCTCATTGAGCTCCTTCACAGACAAACATCTTTCTCTGGGTTGTCATGCATCACCAATATCTCAGCTTCTCATCTATGTTTTTAATAAGTTACCAACTCCTCTTAACAGCACTTGCCAAACAGCCTTTGATCCCCAGTCTTTCGAAAGCTAACCAGTTATTTCCATCATAATAATTGAATGCTCCGAAAATTAGTTTCTATGCTAGAACATTTTGTACAAACCCACGGATTCCATATCCACATAAATAACAACGCCCTCTACCGTGCACACCAGAATACATTATGAATGGTGACCCGGTGTCAGGAAAAATCTGAAGAGCTATTATCATGTCTTTATTTTCCTATCCCAATTCTACAGCTGAAGTGCCTGGGGCACTGAAACCCCTAGCAAGAACACGCACTGCTGAAATATGGTCCTAGGTCCCTTGACTCCCACAGTGTTCCTTTGCGCCCTTGTCTCTGCTGCTACTGCCTAAGACAAATGTAGTGTGACCCTCTTAGACAAGTGGGGTTTTTTCTGTTTTTTCAAATCCAATCACATTCACTTGGGATCTGCTCCAGGACTGTCAGGCAGGGTAGGGTCTAGTGGAGACTGAGGTAGGGAGGAATCAAGTCCCATAAATAATTCAAAACGAAATCAATTTTACATAATAGACTCTGCAATTTTTAAACTTCAAAAAACTCCCTGAGGGTTAAGTAATAGACACAAGCTCCAGTGTCCTACAACACACAAGGTGACTGTAGGACCAATAAGCAACCAAAAGACAGGAGTTTAAGGGACTAGAGGGGAGACGTATCAGTTAATAGCACTGGCTGCTCTTCCAGAGAACCTAGGTTGAATTTCCAGCACCCACATGGCAGTTCACAACCTCCTACAACTCCAGTTTCAGAGGACCCAACAAACATACATGCAGTCAAAACACCAATGCACATTAAATAAATAAATAAATAAATAAATATTAAAGAGAGAGAATAACTGACCAATGCCTAAGGATACAGAAAGCTAACTACCCTAACTTGATGGTTGTACATTGTGTGCATAATCTGAATTCTCACCCTATATCACATAGATTTGTATATTATTTTTAAGATTTTATTTATTATGCATACAACATTCTGCTTCCATGTATATCTGCACACCAGAAAAGGGCACCAGATCTCATAATGGATGGTTGTGAGCCACCATGTGGTTGCTGGGAATTGAACTCAGGACCTCTGGAAGAGCAGTCAGTGCTCTTAACCTCTGAGCCATCTATCCAGCCCAGATTTGTATATTATTATGTTAATTCAAATAAAATAAAACTAAGAGACACAATAAGAAAGCCAACAGTCAAAAGGTCCTTAGAGATGCAACAGAGACATTGGGTAGGTAGCAGAAAACCCTACTATTTCTCCACTCTTGTTAATCTGTGGCTTTATACATCATCTCACTTCCTTGGCTCCCAGATGTTTACCAATAAATAAACTGAGTCAAGCCATCCGAAATGTCCCAAATATAAAATTGCATGAACAAAAGCCTAAGACTGTAAGTAAGAGTGCCATTAGAGAAATAAATTCAAAATTCTAGAATGGTGTGAAGGGTCACATCAAGAATCCAAAAGCAAATGACCATGGGGAGGGGAGGTCTCAGTCCCTTCGTGAATAGCAGTGTGTTCGTTCATCGGGTCCTTTTGGTTGGTTGGTGTTATCTGATCTGGTTTGGTCAGGTTTGGTTTGAAGCGGTTGGTTTTGGTTTTGTTTGGAGCTTTTGTTTGTTTTCTTTTTGTGTTTTTGTTTGGTTTGGTTTGGTTTGGTTTGGTTTGGTTTGTTTTTTTTGCACAGTAAGGATCCAGTTATTTACAACTATATTTTTTTTTCCCTTAGGGAGCTTTGTGACCGTCTAATTTCAGTTCTTTTACTTGTAGTGAACTGACTCCATTCTGACACAGGTTTTTCCACATCCTCACAACAATAACTGCACCACATCTTGAGCAACAAGGACTGCTTGGGGGAACTAATACCAACAGAAAAGTGATATTCTCTCTCTCTCTTTCTCTCTCTCCCCTTCTTCCCTCTTTCTCTCCCTCTCTCCCTCTCTCTCCTTCCTTCACAGGAATTGGAAAGCTTGAAGCTGGCAAGCTGTGATGCTGGCAGGAATACCAGACAGGTAGGACCTGACAATATGGAAGAAAACAGAGACAGAGAAGCCATGTCCACCCCAGGGGCTACTGTCTGTGAATCCAGTCACACATGAAAGAAGATATATCTTGGAATATATTTATCATCTGCTGAAGCTAATAGATCTCTGGCACTTATACTCAAAAGACTAACACACAAAGTTATTCAACTCAATATCACACTCGACACTGTTCATCTAGATCTCTCATAGATGAGCCATCTTTGTAGCTTTTACAAATAGCACACAGCCTCACCTAGATCTACCAATCTGATCTAATTAAATCATCCAAAAAAAGCTAAATAAGTCACTGGCTGATATGAACTATTGATACATACCTTTTTTCTTTCCCAAAATAGCAATGAAAGTTGACATTTCATTTAGGCCCAATTTTAGTTAAATGGGGGAAGACTATTAACAATGAATTTACCTCTCAAACTGTAAAAAATAGTCACGGTGAAATAACATATATTATACATCATTTATTTTAAGAATGCACACAATATGCGACTGTTCTTGGACTAAAGGGAAATTTGCCAGGTTAAGTTCCACAACTTTTTAATCATAGATAGAAGGCCCATGCTGTCAATGTAAGAGAATGATAAGGAACACAAGAAGGCTATGAGTAGCGATTATTAGATGGCTCTATGATTCAAATAAAGTTGAGACTCTCATATCGTTCAAATAAAGGTGCATATTAAAATGACCTAGGCGTTTAAGCTAAAATAAATGCACTATTTTTGTTTTACCTGTTCTTAGTCCTCCTTTATTTTTAAGACAAAAAGCAGTAATAACATTTACAATCTAATGAGTGGTCCTCTGCAATCACAAATGTTTACTAAGTAACTTATGTTTTAGAATTGTATAAATAAAATAGACAATGAAGAAATACAGCTTAAACATTACCTGCAGTATCAGGAGGAAAAGGAAATAGGCATTCGCCACTCTTTGGAACTGCTCAAATAAGTTAATTGGCAAGAATGTGAGAATATTGTACTTAGACGTATAGATACGATTGTCCTGAAAAAGAGAGAGTGTCATGTTAGTTTGTATCAAGGCATTCATTGCCCATTACAACTCTTACACATACAAAGCCTAGCACAGGTTATGCCACAGCAAGATAGAGCAGTTAAGTTATCTAGGAAGTCCTAAGCTCCGTGTAGCCAAGACCTTCACGTCTGCCAAGACAACATTATCCAAATTCTAGGCAAAATGCCTCAGTGCCATATCACCCATGTGGTCATGGCTTATCACACTCAGGTTGGATTCTGAGATTTTTCTCCTGCCATGCACTCTTAGGTAGATATTGCAAGAGTACCCACTGTCTTGCTTGCATATCCCTGAGCTCAAATTGAAGGTATTTGAATAATGATCAATCTGGTCTACCTCCCCAAAGTATGACCCCTTTAGGAAATTGTCAAGGGACTCCTTTTTTAACTTATTCTTTGTATTGTACACACCTCAGATCTCCAAGTCGTTTATCTCCCGTCCCTTTGTATCAACCCTCTGCCCTTGTAACCTGCTCCCACCCAAAATAAAATAAAGTAAAAATTAACAGAAAAAAGAAAAATCTAATCATGAAAGCTGTAGTGTGACACAGTGAGTCACACAGTAGACCCGTTAATCCACACATTTTTACTTGCAAGTGTTCATTGGTCTGCTTTGAGGCCTCTGGTTTCTGTCGCATCATCCATACTGGACCTCACTAGGACTCCTCTTGGATATCCTATTGTTGTCCTGTGTCGTGGAGATCCTGCAGCTTTGCATCTGCAGGACCTGCCCCTTCCCGTGTTCCAGTAGATGATACATAGATGGGATGGATTCCTTGTTTCTGGGCTTGGGTAGCTGCAGGGTTGATCAGCCCACCAACTCTCCCCAATCCTCACCACCAGAGGGAGCTCTCCAGCATTGTTCCTACTAGTTCATGCTACATAGTAATGAGCAAGAGGCAACTGGCTCTCTTGCTTTCATGCCCTCTAGACTGGTTCACCCACACCTACTCCACCAGGGCCAGCTCTACTCAATTGAATAGGCGAAGTGCAGGGGCCACTCTCCTAGTGCTGCATCTGGTGAGGGTCAGAGACAACTCTCCCACTCTTATGACCTCAGGGCCAGCTCTCTCGACCGTCACAGGCAGTGGGGGATTGGGTCGGATCTCTTATACTCATGTTCTCCGGGTCAACTCACTCATGCCCCTGTCAACAACGTCAGCTCTACTGTGCTGCCTAAGCGAGGTGCAGGGCCAGCCTTCTGGGATGCTGAAGCTGGTAAGAAGGAGGGGTCGGCTCTCTGACCTGCCACAGGCAGCAGGGGAGTGGGGGGGGGGCCGGGGGGGAGGACAAAGGATTTCTATGTCTGGAAATATTCTGGGATTGCTTAAGAGTACCCTGTTCTTAGTTCAGAATGGAATGGCTGGAAACAATCTTTATTATAAAAAATGTAATTTTTTCTCACGGTGATCTCTTGCTCTATGCCAAGGTGTGGCCCTCTGTCACTAACACCAAGTCCAAGGTTTTTCCTGGTGAGAGCATTCCAATACTTGAATGCTTCTCATGGAACACACCACACCTGTCTCTGATCCACAATCCCAAATCCCACAGCTACTGCATGACATTTTATAGCTGGCCACCCTCTTCAGAATCCATCCCAACTTCTCTACATCTGTTAAGACACAGTGCCTACTGTGGAGCCAGGAAATGCAGAGGAGACATGATGCGGCACTTCTCTTTCTGGATCTGGGTTACCTCACTCAATATAATATTTCCAATTTCCATCAATTTACCAGAAAAAAATTGTGATTTAATTTTTCTTTACAGCTGGATAGCATTCATTGTGTCTGTATATAAATAACACTAAAGATGTTTGAAAAGGCCATAAGGAATCATTATTTTATATATACCTAATTACATATAATACATACAAACATATATATATATGTATGTATATGTATATAGTTTAAATGAAGTTATACCAGTTGGTATTGATAATGCCTCCCCCAAGATCCATAGATTATCTAACCAAATCCCCAGCAACAGACTGAGAAATCTCCTTTCAAGTTGTCAGTCAGTGGAGTCCAAGAGATTTCTAAAACAATAGAGGTTATTGCTGCTGCCTTGGTTGCCTCCCAGAAGTTGAAGGTAAGTCCCTAACGCTGAAGACATCATGCACTTTGGACACAAAACTTGGAGGACTCAAATTTGATCTCATCAGAAAGTCTTCTCCCTGAAGATTAGCTTTCACGGTACTGGAAGGTGTCATGCAAGCTGCCAAGTAGGGAAAGCATTCAATAGTCCTGAATAAGCTATTATGCCTATGAATCACAATAATGATAATATGGTAAGGGATCTCTAAAAGTGCAACTGTGACTGATACCTTAGCTGTAATCGAGAGCTGTTTACTTGGTCTTAAGGCTCACTGAACAAGAGGGAAATCATGCCTGGTAATGTAAACCTAGACATCCACCGCTGGCTAGTAAGAGCATAGACACCAGAGTCACTTTCCTAAACCAGTTTAAACAATTTCTAACTGCATTCTAAATACTTACCCTTACATCCACAGATAAGTGTAGCTCTCACCTCTCATCAAAGAGACTTTTTTTCATAGCAGATAGAGACCATTACAGAAAAGCATGACTGCTCAAAATGGGGAGAACAACTAACTGTGTTGTGCCAGTCCCCGTGGGTATATCAACAATACACAATGCCTGCACCTAAAGCTCAGAGAGCATCAAGGAAACATTGTAAAAACCAGAGGAACAGCAAGTATTCTGTGAGATTGTGTCTTCTAAATACCACAGGGAAGCTGCACCCACGAAATCTCAACACTGTGGCTGCTTTGAAATGACCTGAACAATGACAATGTGGATGACAGAAATCACACAGGGACCCAACCCTAGATGAAGACCAAAGGCAATTAAAAACTGCCAAGAGAGGGAGAATTAGTCTTCCTCAAAGATGACCTACATGGTTATTCAAGTAGTCAGCCCTTTAAAAAATATCTAAGAAACAGTAGGCAGACTCAGCAGGTTGCATTATATAGTTATTAAATATACTATAATATAATTAAATATAAATATTAATATAATTAAATATAAATTAAATATTAAATATACATGCAACAATACTAATTCAAGAATAAGAGGCCATGAGTTCAAAAGAGAGTAGGATGGCAGGATATAGAAGAAGTTGGAGGGAAGAGAAGGGAGGAAATGATGTAATTATATTTTAGTCAAATGTTTAAAATTAATAATTTGTTAAAGCGTTTTACTTTTTACTACTCTGTGGGGGCGTGCACACCAAAGTCAGCATGTGGAGGTCAGAGAACAACTTAGAGGAACCGGTTCTCTCCTTCCACCACATGGACCCCAGGGATAAAACTCAGATTGTCAGATATGAGCATCTCATCAGCCAGGATAAGAGTGTGTGTGTGTGTGTGTGTGTGTGTGTGTGTGTGTGTGTGTGTGTGTGTGTATCTGTCTGTCTGTCTGTCTGTCTGTCTGTGTCTGTGTGTGTCTGTGTTTGTCTGTGTGTCTCTCTGTGTGTGTGGTTCCATCTCAAGAAAATTCAATCATCAAACTTTACCAGGAATTAAGGTGTCAGCTCCATGCTACAGGGGTGAGCTTTTTGAGAGCTTACAAGAGAGATGCCATGTTACCCCATCTGCTGAACCACAGAGCACTGTACAATGAAGTGACTGGCTTTTGCAGTAGTCGGGCTGAGCAGGGAGGCCTTGCAATTGTCAATCATGATGTTTTCCTGAACAGGAAATGTGGAGAAAATAATAGGGGAGAGGAAAGTCAAGGAGAAAAGATCAATTAGTCAAACATCTCCCAGGGCTGGGAATGTATCTCAGGGGCAGAGTGCTTTTCTTATGTATGTAAGACCCCAGGATCAAACCCCAGCACTACAAGAAAGAAAGTCTCATCCTTGATTGTTTTGTATTTTTCATCTAAGTTACTAATGCAGAGGTTAGGTTTGCATGATGCTGAAAAGACAGTCAAAGAGTAGCAAAAGTTTTCAAGAAACTCTCCAAGCCTGGATTCTGCACAAGTGAAGAGCCAGTTCTGTGGGATAAGGTGATGATGCCAACCAGAACCTGTGGCCATTTTCTCCGCTGTGTTCAGCTTTACATACAGTAATGGTTGTATCATTCCATGGGCACAGCTATAACATAATCACAGATGGTGAAATCTGCACGGCTTAGACGGGGGCAAAGGAGGCCACCCTTCGTGGATACACTCTGAACACATCTTTACTTTTGTTTTTCAGTCCAAGAGGAAACATGCTTCCATTCCTATTGTCCTAACCAAAAGGATATTCAGACCTTCAATCAGACATATTTATGTAGTCATATTATTGAGTCATCCTACTGGGCACAAATTCTGGTGCAGCTCACTTCCTAACACAGCACTGAAAAGTCTTCACCATTGTCCTCCTACAGCTACTTTTCTACCATGGACCACTAGAAACATTCCATCAGAAAGGAAGAGGAAAAGGCTACCTGGGGAATCAACATGACCTCTTTGACGCTAGTAACAGCAAAGCTGTAGGCCATGGCTTTAGCTCATTAGTCTGTTGTGGAATATTACTTTAACTAGGCAAAGATATGTTACATTTGTTTATGCTGCATTTGTATAATTATATAAAGATGTGTTGCTTTGCCTGCCTAAGGCATCTGATTGGTCTAATAAGAAACTTAACTTCCAATAGTTGGACAGTAGAGGGAAGGCGGGGCTGACAAGCAGAAAGAATAAGTAGGAGGAAGAATCTAGGCTTGAGAGAGAACAAAAGAGGTAAGAATGAGGGAGAAAGAAAGACACTCAGGCCAGCCAGTCAGGCAGCCGCCAGCCAGATACAGATTAAAATATACATAAAGAAAGGTTTAAAATCCTGAGGCAAAACATAGATGAAGAGAAACTGGTTAAGTTATAAGAGCTAGCAAGAAACAAGCACAAAATAAGGCTGAGCATTCATAACTAATAATAAGTCTCAATATCATGCTTTTGGGATCTGGTTGGTGGC